GCATGTGAGTTAATATGCTAATTTTAGGATATAGGTGTATCTGTAACATAGATTGAGAAAGAGAGAAAGAAGAGAAATGATAAATTATATCTTGGTGTATATTTAACAAGAGATGTACAGTCTCTTTATAGAAGGAGAAGCAACATGGAGGATGCAATTGAGGCCGGAAGCATAAAGCAAGGGGACACTAATTATTAAAGGCTAAAATAAACACATAATAATTATACAGGTTGCCGCCTCAAACTCAAGGAGGATAGGTACTAACCAATTGAGTTGGAGAGAGTAACAAAAAGGAAAGTAAACTGATATAAATAAATAGGGATATGAGACATGTACCTGGTTGTGTCAAATAGTTTTGAGACACGGTATGGTCATTTCACACGTTGGAGAACCTGTATTGTGTCGTGTGGACGTTGTAGGAGATTTGTCTGGACAGTTTACGAGTATGCCGGACGCGATATAGCGAAGTAACGCGGAATCAATGTCGGGACAGTTTCGGGGTCATGCTGGACCGATGTAAGAAGCTGACCGGAATCAATGTCGGGACAGTTATAGGGGTGCTTGGCGGCACGCGATGGTTAAGGATTGTGGTGGGTGGGCACAAGGGGGGATTTAGAGAGTGCGCCATGGGGTGGTTGGGGTGGTCCGCATGGTATATAACCATGCTCATTAGCTTGGGTGGGTTCGCATGGTGTGTTAAATGGCTCACATGATATACTGTATAAGCCCCTCAAACTCAATGAGGTGTGAAGAAGAACTATATTTGAGGTGAATAAAGGGATTGAGAAAGTGGAGCAAAACAGCTCAACACAAAGTGAAGAATGGTAAAAAAAAATGATAGAAAGGCGTTTTTTTTTTTTTTTTTTTTGGCTTGTGGTGTAAAAACTGTTTATCGGGGTTTGATCTCGCATGAGAGAATGACAAGTTTGTGGATGAAAAACGAGTTTTTGGTTGTTGATGGAGTGAATGGTTTTTTTTTTTTTTTTTTTTGTGGAATAAAATCAGCCATCATTCAGTAATGCAGTTGCTAAAGAGAAATATTAAAAGATTGTGGTGGAAAGAAAAGTTTAAAAGAAATGATGGGAAAGAAAAATAAATGTGTTTTTGTTTGGTTTTTTTTTTTTTTCAAAAAAAACTCTTGCTGATTCACATTACCCCCACTTTCCTTTTATTTATTTTCTTTTATCTTCCTTTTTTCGTAATTAAAAAAAAACAAAAAACAAAAAAAACAAACAAACAAACAAAACAACAAAACAACAAAAACCAAAACCAAAAAAAAAAAAAAAAACCTTTCTCTCATTTTTTTTTTAACATCTTCACTTTGTGTTGAGCTGTTTTGCTTCACTTTATCAATCCTTTTTATTTCAATCTCAAATAGGTTTCTATCTTCACACCTATTTGAGTTTGAGGGGGGGTTATACATATATCATAATGAGCATGGTTATATACCATGGGAACCACCCAAGCCACCCCATGGCGCACTCCCTAAGTCGCCCCCTTGGTGCACCACCACAATCTTATACAAACGGTCCGGCATGACCCCGTAAACTGTCCCGACATTGATTCAGACATTCTCTGCTACAACGGTCCGACACGACCATACAGTGTCTTCTCCAACGGTGTGACACGACCATACCGTGTCTTCAACAACGATTTGACACAACCATACAGTGTCTCCTATCCTATTTTATTTTCCTATTTTGTTACTCTCTTCAAACTCAAATTGGCTAGTACCTATCCTCCTTGAGTTTGAGGGGGGCTGTTAGTATATTATTATATGTTAGTGTTTAGCTTTAATAATTACTCTTCTTTTTTTTTTTTGAAGTAATAATAATAATAATAATAATAATAATAATAATATATAAAATAAAGTGTTGGAATCCACTGGAATCAATGAAGGCTAGTATAATATATTGTAGTGGGGAAAAGAATGATGGGTATGTTGATTATAAAATAGTAAGAGAGAGAGAGATAGTCCCCCTAAAACCAGAGAGACCCAGAGTTGATATGTTGTGTAATGCTTGGAGAGCAGATCTGCAAATCCGGCATTATCGACGGCGCAGACGGTGATAGTCCTCCGTCTGTTATCGGATCTGGTGCTGCGGTAGTGAAGTGTTGTTGAAGAATCCTCCACGAGCTTGAGCTGAATGTTGTCTTTCCCAAACAAATACTTGCTTTTGGATGAAAACCCAGCACCAGAATAGTTATCTAGTTTTATCTTGAGAAGCTCTCCTTCATAGGTGAAATGGTCCATTGCCCAGTTAGGCTGAAACAACTCATCATACCTTGATGACTCAACCGAACCCACCATTACAACTGCAACAAAGAGAGCCGTCACATAGGTCAGCCGTTGATGGCGGCGTTGGAGAGGCCGCCGAGCATGGAAGGTGGATCAATTCATGATATTATGCTGAAGACCAAGAAACTCCAGACTAAGGGAATTATAAGGATTGCTGCGGATGTGGCAGAAAGGATGAAGTTCATGAACGACCATGGTGTTGCATACAAAGATCTGAACACAGAGGATCTTGTTGGAAGTTGCAGCGGAGTGAAGGTATGCGTAGAAATCTCCAGCGGGCAGCGAAGGCAGAGTTGTCGGCCGGCTGCCCGCCAGTGAAAAAGAAATATGAGCCTAAACCTTATAGCTCTGATACCATGTAAGTTTTATGTATAAAGAAAGAGAAAGAATTGTGTATTGAATATGTATTGAATGTTATATTACAAATGGTGAGGGGCTCCTTATATAGGAGAAATACAATCTTTACAGACAATGGACAATGATGGCTCATGATGAAAAGAGCCGAAAACAATCCAAAAGCAATGCACTGTATTACATATTATATTAGAGAGAAAGCAAGTGAATAAAATGAGATGTGTATATACTTTGTTAATTTACAAAGGGAGCCTAGCTCTCTTCTTATAGCCTGTGATGTACATTGGATGCGAGGCACCGAAAGCATAAAGCTGGGGACACTAATTATTAAAGCTAAACACTAACATATAATAATATACTAACAGCCCCCCTCAAACTCAAGGAGGATAGGTACTAGCCAACTTGAGTTTGGAGAGAGTAACAAAATAGGAAAATAAAATAGGATAGGAGACATTGTATGGTCGTGTCGAACCGTTGGTGAAGACACTGTATGGTTGTGTCAGACCGTTGTAGGAGCTAACCGGAATCAATGTTGGGACAGTTTATGGGGTCATGCCGGACCGTTGTAGAAGCTGACCGGAATCAATGTCGGGACGGTTTACGGGGTCATGCAGGACCGTTGTAGAAGCTAATCGGAATCAATGTCGGGACAGTTTATGGGGTCATGCCGGACCGTTGTAAAAGCTGACCGGAATCAATGTCGGGACAGTTTACGGGGTCATGCCAGACCGATGTAGAAGATTTTGGTGGTGCACCAAGGGGGCGACTTAGGGAGTGCGCCATGGGGTGGCTTGGGTGGTTCCCATGGTATATAACCATGCTCATTAGCTTGGGTGGTTCGCATGGTGTGTAACCATGCTCACCATGATATATATATATAACCCATGTTATCAAGCACGTTTTTTTATTTGAAACTTGAGTATTTGTTCAGCGTCATTAAATTCTTCTTCA